CAATTGAGTTCGGCTTGATTTGCGATGAGGACACCCCAATGCTTCACAAACTTGGTGAAGGAAATGGTGGAGTGGCAATTGGAGTCCATACTCGAAATGTTTAAGATAAATTGATGCCCTATCGCCACTGTGTTGATATATGGCCTTTGATCTCTCCGACGTTGACAAAGTGAAAGAAAGAGGAAGATCAAATCGATCAAAGTAGACAGCAAGCTCAGTTGCGTAGATCTTTGAGCAGAATAAGCAGAGGAGATAGATCCTCATCTCGTTACGGCCTTTGGTAGCAGAAGCAAAGGCCAATTCTTATCATCGGAATATAGAGCGAAGGATGTCCAGTGCAGGATGAAAGTACCCTAGAGGGGGGTGAATAAGGTAATTGATAATCTAATCTGATATTAGTGTCAAAATTAAAACTTATTAACTAATATATCCTAATGATGTAATATACAATGAAATATGCAAGGATATACAATTAAACAATGGGCGAAATAAACATGAACAAAAGAACAAGAGAGGTAGTGCACAAATGATAAACGCAAACACAATGCAAATGATCACGGGGTTTGGTCGATCCACGACCTACGTCTCGGCTCCTCACCCTCGACGAGAATCCCTACTATCTCAAAAATACTACACAATTATTAATACACAATACACTTCTCTAAGTATTGTCCTAGCCCGTGTCACCTTCCCCAAGTGCTCGGAATTACTACCTCTCCCTAGGATTTACAACTGACGCCACTCTTGGAATTGAACCCCGTCTCTCACCAACCAGTTCTCTAAGTGTTCTTGTGTATTATAATGTGTTATCATAATAATAAGGCACCAATACAAAGGATTTGTTCTCTAACAAGAATGAGAATGAAATTAAGCTCACACTCAATGAATCACTTACCACAACCCAATTTATACTTAATGTGAAATACCAAAAGCTCAATAGGTTGTGTGTGCAATTAATGAGTAAAATGAAATATAAAATCATTTTAAAATCTAGCTTATAGAAATAATAATCATAAATATAAATAGCTAGAGATTGAGTTTAGTAAAATTTCTCTGAAAACAAAAAAGATAGAGATATTAGAATTGAAGCTCAAAACCAAAATGATCTCCTCCTCTTGTGGGAACTCTCTTCTCATAAACAACACACTTGATTTTCTTTAAAACACACTTAAACAAACTTGTAAACTTGTTTTTAAAGTTTCCTTGGATGAATCAGAATGTTGAGGCTAAGGGGTATGTATAGGTTCCAAGAACAAACCCCAAAACCCAGAAAAATCTAATAAAAAAACAAAATTCCTAAAAATCAGGAAAACTAGAAACTAGTCGTTACAGTAGCTGTCAGTTGACTGATGGGTTTATAGGTCGACTTATGAGCTGACCGTTAGTAGCCCGCTCAAAGCCCGTCGATCGGCTGATGCACCATCAGTCAACTGATGAGCTACTTTGGTCGACTGATGGTGCATCAGTCGACTGAGCAGAAATAAATGCTAATTCTATGCTTTTTCTTCATTCGACTGATGGTCCTAATCAGTCGACTAAAAACATGCACATGAACTTATTTGCACAGTAAAAATAATTTTTGAAGTGAATTTAAAAATAACAAATAAATTTCAAAAATTATAAAACTTGGGAAAATGTTTATAGACATGAAAATAAACATGTTACAAAAAAAATTTAAATATCATTTCCCGTTTGTGAAAACTCATCATTTTGCAAAATTTTAAAAATACGTGTTCGTTAAAACACTTGATTTTGACAAAATAACTTAAACCAGGTTTTTTTTTGGTAATTGAAAAAAAAATTATTCATCACCAATGTGAAATTTGTATGTACATCAAGAATCTCATCACATTTATGAGATATCAAAAAACCTGTAACTAAACCTCATAAGAAAACCTCATATATACAGAGTTTAACAAGTATTAAACCAATCTAACATCAAGTAAAACATAATGTATTTTTTGTTGTTGAGAAGTGTTGACATCTGAGAATCCCTTGAGCTATAGCAGGCATATCACTGCAACAACTCCCTTCCGCGGACCCTTTATGGTTGCATTTTTGACAGGACCAACCTGGGTCCTATAAAGATTGCACCAGCCACTTGAAGGCCTTCCTCTCAAGCACCATCATTGATTGGGCATGTAAACTAAGTTTAATGACTTAAACCAAGTTTTGAAATCTTTTGAATGGTTTTATAGACTTAGGAAAAGATGTAAACTAGAATTATTTAGTCCATAAACCAAGAACACAATATTTTCTCAAAAATACACATATTATGATAAAAATGAGAAATACGTGTGTGTATAAAATTGAGCTTAAATTATTATCACACAAAATATAACTCCTAAACTAATATACCAAAAATGATTATGTATGACGCTTGATCTTGATACTTTTACTTGAATTACATCGGCTCCATTAAAATATCGTCGATATGGCACAAATACACTCAACCTAGATACATATCTAAGAAACAAAAATACTAAAAACCACGATTATAAATTGTTTGTTAATCATCAAAACTAGATTAGATAGTAGGCTCGTAAACATAAGTCCTAACACATAAATCTAAGGTTCAAAATTTTGAGTGCAAAACTTTTGTAAAGGGAAAGTCCATCTCCGAATGAGCTACATATAGGCTGAGAGCACAGACACGTGTCAAGATCAGAGTGGCCGACTCCTTAAAAAGTGGACGACTAAGATCGACCTTAAAAGTCGAACCAACAGCATGGGAAGTAAAGCGTTATCACCTTAATCGAAATGCCTCTCAGCTCAGAAGTCGAAGTGATGACGTCGCATCATATTCGCTGACATCAGGAGATTACTTGAACAGTCGCATATCATTTTCCTCATAAATGCACCTCGAGAGTTGCTAACTGACAATTGTTCAACTTTCGCCCATACTTGACCAGCCGAATTCAAGGAAAAGGGAGCCATTGTTATAGCCTGAAAATAACTTTGTATTAACCACCCTTGGGAAACTAACACATGTCCTGGACAACGCCTAATCAAACTTGTGTACAATTCGAATGACTCGAGCCACCCATGTAGCTGACTCTATTGGCCGACAACCTACATAGCCGACTAAAAAGGCGGTACTTGTCATCCAACCCAAACAATCACCTCTGCGAATAACCCACACTTGGCCCGTTATATCAGCTGACAACTTGTGTAGCCGACTAAATAAGCAGTGTTTGTCAGCCTTCAATCGAACGACTAAAGAAGTGGTAGTTTTCTCGAATCTCACGCCAACAACCACTTTCCCTTGCATTAACTATTCTGACAAAGTCATCATTGCTCTAGTCCCTAAAGTTTTTATGACTTATATGGCTCCATCAACTCGCTTGGCACTAACTACTTGAACGAACCATCTTTGCCAACGGCCGATACCTATCAGCTGTCTGCCGAGTCAAATGTCTGCCTGGACTCGGCTCAAGTTATATATCTATCCTTCCTAATCCTCTCTAAAAGGAAGTTATGCAGCTCGAGGTAACTCTCTGGTTTTTTCTCACAACTTTGAAACTTTCTTTATCATCACACATTTTTTCACTCGAGTTCATATACTGACTTGATCGTCGGAGAAACAGCTGGAGAACCTAATTCTGGCCTCTCACGAGTTTTCATGTGCAAGAGAGGGTTGTAGGTACCCAAACTAACCATTTGAAGAAGCTTGAGGACCCTAATACTCTTCTAATCCACGCGCAAATCCCTTGTTTGATAAAGGTCGTCAATACTACTCGAAACAAAATATGATAGGCTAATATCAGTTTTATTAAATATATTTTCTTGAGAGACATACAAATAAAAAATAATGATCTATGGGAATATTATCAAATTTATTGATGTAATGATGTGATTTCTTGTAATGTTACATAGAAAAGAGAAAGGCACACACTCAATTAGAAATTCTAAAAGCACCAATTTATTTCAGACGGCCCATTCAGGATGTAAATAATCAAGGTGTCACTGATAGTCCAACTGAGCCATGTTATGTACCAATGTCATCTAATTCAGTGGAAAAAAAACCAGCTTTGACAAGGAAAATGAACATTACTAAGAAGAAGGTATAAATCTGATATTTAATTTAATTATATTTTATGAAAGTTTGATTTATATATATGCATTTATGTTTCGATGTTTTGATAATGTAACTTTTAAAATTTTAGGAAATAGTCAAGATTCAATGACATCCATCTTTGAGGAAATAGTTTCTGCCATAATTACTCAGCATTCCGCATTCAGTAGCAAATCAAGTCAATCAAGAAATACGAACCTTGTCTTTGTGAAAGGTGACTTAATGCTGAAAACTTTTGAAATTTTCCTCATAATGATTTACGAATTCAATGACATTATGAGTTTAAATTTTAATCAATTTACTTGCATAAGAGTTTTTGTTATGGTATATGAATGGAAGTTGTTTTAAATCATTTAATTAGAAAATGGATATAAAAAAATAAGGAAAAGGGATTTGAGTATTTATCCAAATGAGCGTTTCACTACTACAAAATATAGCAGACCCAACGGTTCAAACCATTAGGGCAGATAGTGACCCCAACGATTGGAACCGTTGGGGCAAATTGCGTTGGGGCAAAGTTAGCCCCAACAGTTATTTTATCAGCACCAATGGTTTCAACCGTTGGTGCTGATATTTTTTAAATTTAATTTTTAAAATATAAAAATTCCAGCACCAAAACCGTTGGTGCTGAAATTTGCAGCAACGGTTTCAACCGTAGGTGCAAATGTTAGCACTAACGGTTGAAACTGTTGGTGCTGATATGTGCACCAATGGTTTCAACCGTTGGTGCTGACATTTGCACCAACGGTTGAAATCGTTGGTGCTGAAATGTGCACAGGTCATGCACCTTATCAACTTGTTCACAACAATATTCTCACATAATTATACAACAAAAAACACAAATATATCATAAAATAAATTCAAGATCCTAACACCATGCGCAATTATAAGTCAAAACAAAAATTTTACTAAAATGAAATGTGTGTAGTAAATTTAACAACTAAATCACAAATATAAAGAGTATCCAAAATACAATGTCTCAAATATCTAAAAAATACAAGTCACTACTGACTGAAATAAAGAAAATTGACAAAAGCCTTACGGATGTCCTCCTCGCCATAGCCCTCTTGCGCTAAGCCCCTTAACAAGCCCCCAGTCAACTTGCAAGAAGATTTTGTGCTGAAATATCATGAGGAGAATGTTGAGCAACAAAAGTAAAACCATGAGCATCCGGAGAAGGCTGAGCAAAAGTCAAACCCTGAGCATTCGGAGAAGGTATGAGCATCCGGAGAAGGCTGAGTAAAAGTCAAACCCTGAGCATTCGGAGAAGGCTGAGCAGAAGCCGATTGAGTAGCCGGAACAACGGAAGGTGGATGAGCGGTATGATGATCAACCTGTAAAGTATAAGTAATGATATTTAGAGGGCACGTTCAGATGAATCTCACAGAAATCTATAATTTAATAAATGTATGCATGTATAAACCAATCCGAATTGAATTTATAGTCAGAAAAGAGAAAAAGAAAGACAACTGAATTGAATTTAACTCAAACTTAAACCAATAAAAACATCTAAATATTAGTTCTAAAGTAGTTCTTATCGTAATAACCAAAGTAAGTTTGAGTAAAACTAGCTCTATGCTGTGAACGTGAGGGGTTTCTTGAACGTGGGGGTCTCACACCCATGTCCACGATTGGACAATTGCAGAGGGCCCACCCGCTGCAATACATGTGCAGCGGATGTTTTGTTTCTTGGACTGGCCCACCCGAACTCCTCTATTCGAATTTTCCAGACTATAAAATAGGAACAAATTGTTCCTAGGTTTTAAAGTGAGGTCAGAGTCTCTGGGGTTTTTGTTGGCGGCTACGAAAGCAATCAGAGGCTTCTTTTTGAAAAGGCTTTGAAGCAAGGAATAATTGCGGCTACAGGAATATTTTTGGTGGCAAAGTTTTTGTAGTTGTTCTTTGTTTGTGCATCCCTTTGAGAGAATATTTGTAGAGGGATTTGAGAGTTTGTTTGAGAGGGTTTAGATTGTGAGATTGTAAACCCTAGTTGTATCTCTCCCTCTAATAGTAGATCTCCCCCTCCTTGCCCCGTGGACGTAGGCTATTTGCCGAACCACGTAAAAGTTGTGTTCTTGTCGTGATTTGTAATAGCTTGTAGGATCCCTCGACGCGCAGTCCTAGAGCTGACGAGAGGACCCTCGACGCGCAGTCCTAGAGCTGACGAGAGGAAGAGCTGATATCTCACTTTGATGAGATATCTGGCTTTTGGTTCTTGTTTCCTTTGAGAAACGAGAATTCCGTTGTGATCTAATCTCTTGTTGTGCACCTTGCGCACCGGAGGTGCTGCCGAAATTTCCGCTGCGCACAACAAGTGGTATCAGAGCTCCGGGTTGGACTTGGGAGCTTGTTCGAAGGATTCGCTGAAGGATTCCTATTTAAAGATTAGATCGACAACATGGGAGAAACAAGCACATCGGGATCGACTCTTTCGAAGGCAATACAGAGTCTGAGCATCAATAATACAAAAATTGATGTTCCGAAGTTCGACGGCAAGATCAATTTCGGTTTGTGGAGGTGTCAGGTGATGGACGCCTTGGATGCACAAAATTTGGAGGAGACTCTTGAGTTACAAGAGAAACCCGCTGATATGGAGGACAAGGTTTGGAAGAAAATGAATAGTAGGGCTTGTGGAGTTATTCGGTCATGCTTGACGCCGGATCTTATTTATGACGTAATGAACGCTAAGAGCATTAAGAATCGGCTTCACTTGAAGAAGAGGTTTTACCAGTTCAAGATGAAGAGGGGAGTTTCCATTAGGGAGCATGTTAACAACTTCACAAAGCTACTTTCAGACATGACCAATGTGGATATCATGGTTGAGGATGAAGACAAGGCGATGCCACTGTTGTGTTCATTGCCGGAGGATGATTTTGGTACGTTTGTTTTTACTATGATAAATGGAAGAACTACAGTTAGCTACAAGGAGGTGACCTCAGCTTTAGTGAATTATGAGTTGAGGAAGAGTGATGGCGAACCCTCCGAGTGAATTATGTTGAGGAAGAGTGATGACGAACCCTCCGAGAAGGCATCGGGAGATGCATTAGCAGTTCGAGGCCGTGGTCCAAACCGTCGTCCAGGTGATCGCTCAAGATCGAAGTCAAGAGGTGGCCATAGAAATATTGGTAGGAATCAATGTCGCTTTTGCAAAGAAGAAGGACATTGGAAGAACGACTGCCCAAAGTTGAAAGACAAAGCTGGGAAGAATAAAGGGAAAGCTGTACAAGCTTCGGAAGTGAATGTTGTCAAGGCTAGTGACGACAATTCAGATACAGATTCTTCAGGCTATTCCTGCTCTGCACTACCGTCAGTTTGTTACGCTGACTCTACGGAGTGGATGATGGATTCTGGTGCCACATACCATATTTACCCTAGGAGGGATTGGTTCTCCAGCTTTGAGGAGTTGGAAAGAGGGGATGTCGTGCTCATGGGTAATGATCACGTATGCCCTATTGGTGGTATTGGTACAGTACGGATCCGGATGTGTGACGGGGTGACTCGGGAGCTGAAGGAAGTGAGATTCGTTCCTCAATTGACGAAGAATATCATTTCGCTTGGAACTTTGGAGGCAGCTGGCTATAAGGTGATCTTGGAGAATGCGACTCTGAAGGTCACAAAGGGGTCCATGGTGGTGATGCGAGGTGTCAGGGAAAATAACCTTTACTACTTGAAGGGCAAGACAGTAACAGGAGGTCTGGCAGCTTCGATTACCACAGAGGAAGATACTACCAGATTATGGCACATGAGATTGGGACACACTGGTGATAAGTCCCTGCAGGTATTGGCGAAGCAGGGGCTATTGAAGGGTGCGAAGACCTGCAAGATGGAGCTGTGCGAACATTGCATACTTGGGAAGAAGACAAGAGTGAAATTCGGCACCGCTATTCACAATACCCAAGGTATATTGGACTATATTCACACAGATGTTTGGGGCCCTTCCAAGCACACATCACTTGGTGGGGCCAACTATTTTGTCACTTTCATTGATGACTATTCCAGGAGGAATTGGGTATACCCGATGAAGCATAAACATCAGGTCCTAGATATTTTTGTGGAGTGGAAGAAGAAAGTGGAGCTGCAGACAGGTAGAAAGGTGAAGACTCTACGTTCAGATAACGGTGGAGAGTATAAGAGTGATCCATTTCTGCAGTTTTGCCGGGATCATGGCATTAGGCGACACTTCACAGTACGTGAGACACCGCAACAGAACGGGGTGGCTGAAAGGTTGAATCGTACCTTGCTGGAGAAGGTGCGATGTATGATGACACAGAGTGGATTGTCAAGATCCTTTTGGGCCGAAGCGTTGGTTGCATTAGACGACACTTCACAGTACGTGAGACACCGCAACAGAACGGGGTGGCTGAAAGGTTGAACCGTACCTTGCTGGAGAAGGTGCGATGTATGATGACGCAGAGTGGATTGTCAAGATCCTTTTGGGCCGAAGCGTTGGTTTATGCGAGTCATCTCGTGAATAGGTTGTCGTGCACTGCGATACAGGGGAAGACTCCGTTGGAGCGTTGGTCTGGTTCGGTAGCTAGTGACTATGAGTCGCTTCGGATATTTGGGTGTCCTGCTTATTACCATGTCAATGATGGTAAATTGAATCCGAGGGTGAGGAAAGCAGTCTTTGTGGGATTTAGAGATGGAGTTAAAGGCTTCAAGTTATGGGATCCACAGGACAAGAAGATAGTTATTAGCAGGAATGTCACATTTGACGAGACGTACATGATGAAGCCTCAAGTTCCTCAGCAGGTGGAGGAAGACCAGATTCAGGAGATATCACAGCAGGTGGAGGATGATGTGACTCCACCCACTCCAGATAACATTGTATCCATCGAGGCTCCTACAGAGGGGACACTGGGAGGAGATGGGATGACAACCGGGCATTTAGAGGATACAGTGGGTATTGGGACTCAGGAACAGGGTCATGTTGAGGAGTCCATTGCAGCTAATAGACCAAGAAGAAACATTCGTCGGCCAGCTAGATATAACGATGTCATGGTTGCATATGCTTTATCAGCAGAAGTCGTTGATGATTTGGTTCCTTTTACATTCAAGGAAGCAGAGTCAAGCTCTGATTCGAATAGGTGGAGGGAAGCCATGGAGGAAGAGATGCAGTCTCTTCATAAGAACGACACTTGGGAACTTGCAAAGCTACCGAAAGGTAAGAAGGCTATTGGATGCAAGTGGGTATATGCAAAGAAAGAGGGGTCTTCTATTGGGAAAATTAGATTCAAAGCCAGATTGGTTGCCAAGGGTTATGCACAGCTTGAGGGCGTTGATTACAATGAGGTATTCTCACCTGTTGTAAAGCATTCGTCGATTCGTATTTTATTGGCATTGGTAGCACAGCTGGATTTGGATTTGGTCCAGATGGATGTGAAAACAGCCTTTCTACATGGAGATTTAGAAGAGGAGATCTACATGACACAACCTATAGGGTTCAAAGCTGCAGGAAAGGAAGAATTAGTATGCAAGCTGAAGAAGTCTCTTTACGGATTGAAGCAATCGCCGCGACAATGGTACAAGAGATTCGACGGCTTGATGATTGGCCGAGGGTACACAAGGAGCCCATATGACCCGTGTGTTTACATGCACAAGCTACAGAATGGTGAGTATATCTATTTGCTATTATATGTTGACGATATGCTCATAGCTTCCAGGAATACTTAAGCCATTAGAAAGTTGAAAAAGGAGCTGTCATCCGAATTTGAGATGAAGGATCTTGGAGAAGCAAAGAAGATATTGGGTATGGAGATCGAGAGAGACAGGGTGAAGGGGAAGTTGAAGTTGACACAGAGGAGTTACTTGCAGAAGATGCTGAAGAAATTCAGTTATGATGGCAATGCCAAAGCGGTGAGTACTCCATTAGCTCCCCACTTTAAGCTATCAGCTAAGATGTCACCTGTTTCAGTTGAGGACCGGGAATACATGTCCAAAGTTCCATATGCCAATGCTGTGGGTAGCTTGATGTATGCGATGGTGTGTACAAGGCCAGATTTATCACAGGCCGTGAGCATGGTATCCAGATACACGACCCCGGGAAGGGTCATTGGGAGGCCGTGAAGTGGATTCTACGGTATATCAAAGGTACCGTAGATGTTGGTTTGGTATTTCAGAAGAATGAGAAGAATGGGCAGGATTGTATTAGTTACGTGGATTCTGATTATGCGGGGGATCTGGACAAGCGCCGGTCTACTAGCGGATATGTGTTTACACTAGCAGGAGCACCGGTATGTTGGAGATGCACACTTCAGTCTACAGTGGCTCTCTCCACTACGGTGGCAGAGTATATGGCGTTGACTGAAGCGGTAAAGGAGGCTTTGTGGTTGCAGGGATTATTGGAGAACTTGGGGATTGCACAGAAGACCCTTCGGGTATATTGTGATAGCATGTCAGCTATCTATTTGGCTAAGAACCAGGTTTATCATGCACGCACGAAGCATATCGATGTCAGATTTTATTTTGTTCGTGACGTTTTGGATGAAGGAGACGTCATGTTGGAGAAGATCCACACGAAGGATAACCCTGCAGATATGTTGACCAAAGTTGTTTCAGGTATTAAGTTTGGTCATTGTTTGGAACTTTTGAACATTCTTCGGTGTTGAGGCCTTTCGAGGCCATTGGGATGAACTACAGTCTTTATGATGCAGCTGGTTTGGATTAATTGATTTTGATGGGGGTGAGATTGTTTGGACTCTCGTTCGGGTTCTCGACTTGTTGTGGATTGAGTTCGTATTGGACACAACAAGTGGGACATTTGGTTGCCTTGGTGTCGGCTCAGTTTTGAAAGAAACTTCGCCGAGGTGGAGAATTGTGAACGTGAGGGGTTTCTTGAACGTGGGGGTCTCACACCCATGTCCACGATTGGACAATTGCAGAGGGCCCACCCGCTGCAATACATGTGCAGCGGATGTTTTGTTTCTTGGACTGGCCCACCCGAACTCCTCTATTCGAATTTTCCAGACTATAAAATAGGAACAAATTGTTCCTAGGTTTTAAAGTGAGGTCAGAGTCTCTGGGGTTTTTGTTGGCGGCTACGAAAGCAATCAGAGGCTTCTTTTTGAAAAGGCTTTGAAGCAAGGAATAATTGCGGCTACAGGAATATTTTTGGTTGCGAAGTTTTTGTAGTTGTTCTTTGTTTGTGCATCCCTTTGAGAGAATATTTGTAGAGGGATTTGAGAGTTTGTTTGAGAGGGTTTAGATTGTGAGATTGTAAACCCTAGTTGTATCTCTCCCTCTAATAGTAGATCTCCCCCTCCTTGCCCCGTGGACGTAGGCTATTTGCCGAACCACGTAAAAGTTGTGTTCTTGTCGTGATTTGTAATAGCTTGTAGGATCCCTCGACGCGCAGTCCTAGAGCTGACGAGAGGACCCTCGACGCGCAGTCCTAGAGCTGACGAGAGGAAGAGCTGATATCTCACTTTGATCTGATATCTGGCTTTTGGTTCTTGTTTCTTTTGAGAAACGAGAATTCCGTTGTGATCTAATCTCTTGTTGTGCACCTTGCGCACCGGAGGTGCTGCCGAAATTTCCGCTGCGCACAACATATGCAACCAATTTATACTAACCGAGACCACATATAAAGTCAGAAGTGATGTAACCTGATACGAGTACATGGGATAAATGCAAAGAATTGAGCAATATTTGAGGAAATAAGAAGAAAAATTTAAAACTAAAATTTGTTACTGTAAAAGAGGAAATATTGTAATTGTTGGTATTTTTTAGTGTTAATTTTATTTGTTTTTGTAATGAAATGTATGTGAACATGGGATATGTATTTTGTAATGGTGGATGAAAGTGTTCATGTTGTTTTGGCCAAGTAATGAAATCTACGTTCCACTGTTATGCCAAATTATGTGTCCATTATACAAGCGTTCACATTACTTGCCAAATTTTATAAAAAAAATTGGCAATAGTTTTGCTTATTTCTATTGATTCTCACCCTATACAAAATTCAAGCATCATTATTACCACACATATAACCAACTTGAGGCTTCAACCAGACATTGTTCATACTCCAAAAATCAATATACCAGACATATACGTACCAAACATTTACACATACAACAAACTAAGCATTAGATATGAACTGTATTAATTAACCAAAAATGCATCCCACATTCACATAGGTGTCAACGAAAACATATACATTTCCTACAAAAGCTTGTCAAACATCATATACTAGCCACAAACTACAAGTCAGTTTAATATAAACTTTATGAGTATTGTGCGTAGCTTAAGGCTCTATTATACTATACTGGAGGAGATTGTGAGAGAGAGAAGTGGCTTTGGACTCTGAGTTTATCTTATTCTAGAAATGATGCAGTGAGAGGGAGAGGGGAGTAAAGTGTTAGTCTGAAAAAGGAGGAATGGGGACTGCAGCCAAATATTACAGAAACCCCTACTCACTTCTGTCAATTGAAAGTATTCCAGAAAAAATTTATTTTCTGAATTGAAAATAAAGTTATATTAAAGTAACCATACGTACAAGCTGGATTAGTCATTCCATCTTGGCTTTAAGCTCCGCCATCTCACGAAGCACATCAAGAGGAGTAGCGAAGGTCAAAGTGGAGGAAGTCTTCAAATAAAATCTAGTGACACTGTGACCCAAACCTCTTTCATAACCACCATGATGTCCTCCATGTACATCATCTAGGACCGTGGTCATTGCAGTAGATTTGAGTTCTCGGTCAACCCCTAATGATTTAGCCCTTTCTATCACCCGAGCCTACACCACATAAAGTAGTCAAATATTAAGTCAACAATATTATTATAAACATATTCAAGAAAATTATTTCAATTAGTCAAAAACAAAACACTTACACAATACTCCTGAGTTTGGGTGTCAGGATATGTGGATGAATATGTATCAACTGCTGGATCGACTAACGTCGCTTGGGTACCCAAATACTCCTTTAATGCACTTGAGCTACCACCTGATTCTTCGATCCGAGCTCTCTGTAGTTCACCAACACATAAATTTGTATAAGATATCGTATCATAAATCAATAAATACATTTTTAAAATTCTTAAGAATTATTTTTACCACCGTCTGTTTTGCCCGAACCATGCTCCTCGAGCCACCCGTATAGGTTGCTCAACCTCGCTTCTTTGACTCCCAATTATCTTTATTTATTTTTGCCTCCGCCTGCACAAAAATGTAAGATTTAGATTGTGATCCAAAAATAAGTACATGTTAATCATTGAATTATTTGTTAACCATATATCTACTTCCTATTAGAAGAAAAAAAACTTACAGAGGCCGTCCCATAATTTTTTATTGATCCCTTCGAACACCACTGTCTTGAAAAGATCATCTCTTTTCTCTTGGGGAGTCTCCAGCCATAGTTCATAACACTCCTTCTTCACCTAATTTCAATTGCCTCGGACTCTCTCCTGCATCTTTATATTCACGCCTCGATGTATAGCAGGAAGATTAAGAGGACAATAAGGATCTACATGAAGAAATTCATAATCTTTCTGCATATTTAACAAAAAAAACATTAAACAGTTTACATGAATTCATGTACAAATATCTAAAGTGTCTAGTTTGTGGTCAGTGACGTATACATGAGAATTGAATAAGATCTTGCTAGTTTTGCGAGGACCAAAATAGATTAAAAATGTATTTAAACCTGGGCTTGGAGAAAGAACTTATCTGACGAACGCTCATGATCTGTGCCCTAGTTCTTATAAAGTGGGAAGTCCATGTATTGGCAGCTCACTTGTCTCACATACTGTCTGAATCTCTCAGCATTGGGGCCTGTGATACGGAAATACTCATCAAAGTGCAAGAGGAATGCCTGTTTATTCTTCTTAGTATCGGGACTTAATCGATTGGCTTTATTTGTAGATCGAACCTTCTGGGACGTTCGTGGCAAACCTGCATCAAAGTGCAATGGGATTTCATAGTTCATTGGCAATGAAACTCTTAAACAATATCAAAGTGCAATGGGATTTTACAACTGAGAATTGGAAAGCAGTGGAAAGCGTTTCTTGACTACAAATTTTGTTATGCGTATCTTACATTTCATCCCCTTTTATTCCTATTTTCAATCACATTTAGCAACTTTGCAGTTAACAAAATTTAGGCTTCAATTAAAGATGTTATCTAGTTTGTGAACTTATGGTGATAGTGGCTCTTTGACAAGCTGACAAGGACACTTCCTATTGTTCTTACTGGATGTTTATTTCTTGTAAATTCTCCTTTACTCACAACATAAGTGACCAAAAGGCTTCATTCCACCATTTCTGTTCTTTTGTGGCTATAATTGACCTAGTTGTTGTACGGACATCAATATCATTCTTTAAAGTGGCAACTTATTAGACCTGAGCTCAATTGGTAAAAATCTCATGCCTGTGTGTTAGGTCTCATGTTATGAGCCTACATCTTCAATCTTGTTTTGATAATTACAAATATTTCCTAATATTATTTGTCTAGTGTTTATGTTTTCTTATTAGGTATTCTAAACAAATAATACATTGGAGGATGGATGGACTAGAGCTTTCACGATCATATCCATTGGAGGATGGAAGGAAATAGTGGAATGAAGCCTATGCATACTAGTCAAAATCCAAGTTCAAGCTTCTTCCATTTTTACCAAGACGAGCATATTGAAGATCTATCAAGCTTTGGTATATTAGTTGTTTTGTAGTGTATATTGTGTGAATATATTTCAAGCGCTCTCTTTCTCTCTCTCTCTCTCTCTCTATATATATATATATATATATATATATATATATATATACACACACACACACACACACACACACACACACACACACACACAATTTTGATTTTATTACAAAATGAGTTTATTTGAGAAAACAATGCAATATTGTTTTATATTAATCTTGTTTATATTACATTCATGTTTTATAACGTTTATAAGAACATTTCATAAAGTTTCCACATGTTCTTACATGTCAAACTTCATTTTTAAGATTCATCAAAAACATGTATTAAGTATATTTTTGATAAACGTTGAGTTTCACAAATATGAGGATCTTTTTGAAAAATTCCTTTTCAAACATGTTTGTCAAAATGTTTAAAAACTGTTTACAAAGTTTCACATTTTTTGGAATTTATTTACTACTTTTAACAGAGCCTTAAAACTTAATTTCAAAATCGATTCAGGTTGATAACCTGTTATCAGTCGACTAGTAAGTTGACTGATGACATTAGTCGACTGATGTGTCGACTGATGAAAGTGTCTGCAATCATCAAAAGTCTCTATTTTATTTTGGTCGACTGACCAGTCGACTGATGATCCATCAGACGATTGATAAAAGGTTATCAGTCTACTGATAAGCTGCCGATTGCCTGTAACAATCAGCTCATCAGTCGACTGATGAAACCCGTCAGTCGACTGATAAGCCTTCCAATGGCTAGTTTTGTGCAGTTTCTAGATTTTCGGTTTTTGAGCTGTTTTGTCTTTTTCTTTGGGTTTTGGCTGATGTCTTGAGTGCCTATAAATACCCCAGTGCATTCAACTATTATGGTAATGCAGAAAATTATTTAATCAAGTTTTCAAAGAGTTTAGTTTGTGTTTAAGCATTGTTTTAAGTTTGTTTCAGAAGAGGACTTTTTCACAAGAAGGAAGCTTTTTTATTTCAACTGAGGAATTCATCCTCATCACCTAACTACAGCTCCTTGTGTTATAGAGAAGATTTCTAACTCTTTTATCTAGCTTATTTATCTTTTTATTTTCATATTCATATCTTAGCTAGTCTTATTTGAATTAGAATTTTATTGTTCTCATTTATCACTCACACCTCAATTGAGCTTTTAATATTATTCATGCAATATATTGTTGGGTTCTGGTGAGTGATTTAGTGAGAGTGAGCTTCATAGTGTTCTCATTCATTGTTAGAGAACAAATTATTGTACTTGAGCCTTATTGTGAGAGTATCACTTTGTAATACACATTTACACCAAGAGGAGTGTGTGGTGAGGACGTAGTCGATACCAAGAGGAGTGGCGTCGGTAGTAAAACCTAGAGAGAGGTAGTAAAGTCGAGCACTTGAGGGAGACGATACGTGAGGACTAATAGTTGAGGTTGTAGTTTGTGTATGTACATTGTAAGAGATTTGTAGAGTTTTTAGTAAGCTAGAAAACCGAGTGTGTAGAGAAGTTCCGGCTTCCAAACCGTGTGTGTCGATAGTGGAGTTCTCCCCGAGAGTGAGGAGCGGAGACGTAGGACGGAAGATCCGAACTCCGTGATCATACTATTGTGTTTGGATTGCTCTTTGTGTCCACTATTTGTTTATATTATTTGTTGTTTATTTTCTCCTTTGCATATATATCCTTGCATATATCTTATTGAATATCATCATTGTTAGGATATAATTGTTAATTAATTTTAATCGACATTAATATCTAATATGATTAGCAATAACTTTATTCAACCCCCTCTAGGGTACTTTCATCGTGCTCTTGTGTAATTAGTAAAATTTGAATAACAAGCCAATCCCCGTCAATATACCTGTCATGATTAAGCCATAAAAAGACATTACGTGAGCATTCATGCACACTCACATACACATTAACGAATAGTAAAAGATATTGCTAAGGCGAGGTTCAGTTGTTCCTTAAATGAAACTTCTGTGTGCCCTTTCTTGTTTGGAATATATTTGAATGATTGTAATAGGTACAACCTAATATTTTTCTGAATTTTGAAGACCTGGAGCATTGCTTTTATGCTCTGACCAAGTTTGAAGAAGTGATATTCTCTGATAAAAGCTTTAGCTATCCTGGAGCATTTCAATTCCAAGCTAACCAGGGCATGGTACCAGCCAACTGAGTGGACGTTATTTTAGACATTACTTGGAATTACATACCTCCGGCTTTTTCAGCACGCTTCTCCAGTCGTTTAGCAGCACGATTAGGATGATAGTTTCTCAAGTGTAGAGGACGAGCTATTGATGTGGATGCAGATGCATCCCCACCAACTAAACAATAAAAGAAGATTATGTAAGTATTTAATAAAATAATATGAAATCAATATAATATCAATACATTAAATTATACTAACCCGCCGAGTGTCTAGAAGGTATAGAGTGCGTAAGGATGGTCTGCAAATAATTCTCGGTCATATCTGCTAGATGCGTAATCATATCAAGAAATCAATCATAGTGCAAAATAAAATCAAAATAAAAATTTACAAACCTGTAAGGGGGGTCTATAAATCATCCTCGACTAAGGATGTAGATGCTGGAATACTAGGGGTAGATGCTGGAATGCTAGGGATAGATGTAGATCGACGAGCGTCCTCTAGCTCCTTCAGACGCTCCCTTGCCTGTTGTGAAAGTTTATTAGGTGGCACCCGTCTAGTCCTAGACCTTGATGGTCCTCTACCAGACATCATCAATCCCTGGAAAGGAGTACATATATATATGAGATGCATGCAATACATGCATATAGTGAACATGTATATATATGTATATAATCAGGTTTAGTGTGATTGCTCACCCGACCAAGCATTGTATATAAGTGGATTAATAAAGTTAAATGACCCCCTAAAAATTATTAGCATATAAAGTTATGTGTGATATGAGTGTGTATGAGTGTGTAAATGTGTGATATGAGTGTGTACATGTAACAAAGTGAAAATATGTGAGTGTATGAATTTTTTTTAAGTGATTACTACCTTTTTCTTTTTACAGACTCCTTGGACGTTGTAGGAATGTCTACAATGATTTCATGTTCAAAATCATTCCAAACCCATAAAACTTCATGCTCAACCTGAGATTCATTTGGATGTATAGAAATAGAAGCTTGTAACAATCTATGTCCTTCATCACCAGAATCTGTCTCAACATTGTCCTCTATGTCAACATCCACAAATTGTGGGACATCGTAAGTATTCCTAGGATTCAATCGGCAAACAACACTCCATCCCAGATGTTTCAAGCACTTTGAGTAATATACTTGAAATGCTTATTCCAGGAATATATATGGTTCATCTTCAAACTCAAAAGATTAGTGTTTACACTAGTTAACCCATATCATCTTTCCAAGTTCCATATGTTTCTCTCCACTTTTCATGTCCGGTTCTTGTATGATATCAAACACACTTGAATAAATAAATTAGTTTTGCTCTTCCAGGATAGCGATTACCGAATATTCTATCTAAATACCCATAGTAAATCATTCCTTCGGTTCTAATAGCCGCAATTCGACTATTTTGGGTGATCTGAGATTCTTCTCTCTCCTTGATTTCAAACTTGTAACCGCTTACACCAAATCCTTTATAGTATGCAACCTCTCGGCTCGGATATTCAGATAGACATTTCAAATCCTTATCCAATGTTAATTCTACATTTGGATCTTGGACCTGACAAAATAGTTCGTGTGGTAATTATATAAAGATACAAATTTAGATTAAGATAATGACACATAAATATTGATAAAGAAAATCTTACATAATTTATAAACCAAGCACAAAATTGTCATGATGATGTTTTTCCAACCATTCAACATTCCAATTGTGATGTTCTTCACGTAATTTATCCTTGTGAATTCTGCTCTCAACATGAATTGTTATAACATTAATATTATATTATTTTATACATACATACATATAACAATTAATATAAAACATACTTACTCTCTAACTTCCTCAAGGCATATGCTATTGAGGAGGATAAAGCGATGTATATTATTAATAAATATGAGTTCCATTGTCGTGTAAGTTGGTTCTCCATATGTTCCATCATTAATACTCACAAGTCTATTAAGCTTTGTCTCTATATTTTCATCCAAATAACGAGAACAAAATGTTATTACTTCCTCCAAGAGATAACCTTCCATAATAGAACCCTCTGGCTCTATTTCGTATATAATTTTTTAGAGTCAAAAGATACCCACAAAGGCTCACATTAAATTACTAAACACAAGAATGCAGAATAACAAAATTATATCTATTGCATCAAATGGAAAATTAAAGTTACCTTTCTATAGGATACATCCACCTATATTGTAATGGCCTTGCAAGTCTAGCCTCTTTTGCAAGATGAACAGTCAAGTGGATTATGATATCAAAGAACGACGGTGGAAAAATCCGCTCAAGCTTGCACAATATCAAAGGTATCACTTTCTCTAGCTTTTCTAGATCCTTGTCATTGCCATTTTTAGCACACAATTCTCTAAAGAATGTGCAAAGTTCATTGATCACTAAACCAATAGATCCTGGAAGAGAAGTCCTTATGGATAGTGGGATAAGGTGTTGCATAATAACATGGTGATCATGATTCTTTAACCCATCGATCTTGCCTTTCACAGTCTTTATCTTCTTATTAAATGATCCTGAAAAGCCTCTAGGAACCTTCAGCTCATGTAATACCTCTAAAAACATTTTCTTTTCTAATTTTGACATATGATAAACGGCATTGGGGAGTACAAATTTGCTCGGATTACCAGCTTTAGGTATAGGATACAATTCTTTTCTAATGTTCAAGAGCTGAAAATCTCTCCGAACTTGGAGGTTGTATTTTGATTTTCCATCTTTACAAAGAAACAAGTTAAGTATGTGCTCAGATACTCCCTTCTCAATGTGCATCACATCCAGATTGTGACACATGGTATTTGTCTCCCAATACGGTAATACAAAGAAAATACTTTTTTTGTTCCATCGTTGTGGCCTTTCCTGTCTTTCCTTTACTTTCCCAAAAGTTACATTTAAACATTCCATTGAGCAAGTATGTCCTTTCCGGATAAGGAGGCTAGAGCCTTTCTATGCTCTGTAGTATCATCAAAGTGAACAACATCATTCCTATAGGGTTGATTTTCTTCCAACATACGTCGATGACCGCAATAACAGATCTTTTTGCTAAAGGGCAACCATACCGATGATGTATCGGCATGATAGTAAGGACATGCTTTATAACCATGTACAGAATAACCTGATAGCATTCCATATGCAGGAAAGTCATTAATTGTCCACATTAAGGCTACACGCATTAGGCTGCACGCATCATGAATGTTTCCCCTTTGTCTACATCATATGTCTCTACATCATTAATGAATAAAGATCATAACTCATCGATGAGAGGTCGAAGGTAGACGTTGATATTGTTGCCCGGTGAACTCATCCCATCAATAAGAAGAGGCATCAGAAAGTATGATTAACCCATCGTTAACCACGGTAAAAGATTATATATCATCATTATAATAGGCCATGTACTGTGCGGATTGCCATTAAAACTAAAGGGGCAGAAACCGTCACTATCTAGTCCAAGCCTAATATTACGGGGATCCTGACTAAATGTTGTGTGCAACTTGTCGAAATCCTTCCATGCTGGTGAATCTCTTGGATGACTCATTTTACCATCTTCACTTGGAATAGCACGGTCGTGCCAGGTCATTTCCATCACTGTCTTCTTACACCTGTAGAGCCTCTGCAGCCTCTGTATCATAGGAAAGTATCGTACCACCTTGACTGGTATGTCTTTCTTGTGAGCATGTGATTTCTTCTTATATCTAGAAACTCCACAATTAGGGCACTCTTTCAGTTTAGAATTTTCTTTCCAGAACATCACACAATCATTAGGACATGCATGAATCTTCTCACAATTCAAACTCAGATCAGACATTATCCTTTTAGCTTCATACCAGCTCTGAGGTACATTGTTCCCCAAAAGCATTGGATCTTTCAGGAATTTTAGAAGCATCGTAAATAACTTGTTGCTCCATTTATGTAGGCATTTAATCTGGAAAAGTTGAATGAACCATGATAGTTGGGAATATTTTGCATTCACATAAATCGGTCTATTGGCATCTTTCATGTACTTCTCATTCTCATCTACATGTTCTTGTCCGGAAGAATGATCATCTTTAGCAAGATTGGAGCCACCAAAAGTAACTTTTACCATTTCCTCCATCTCCTCTTCTGGAAAAAAATTTCTTCATTATCTTCTTCTTCATTACAAGCAATATTAGGAGCTAGAATTTCTCCGTGATATACCCAAATTGTATAATCCTTAATAAAACCATGCTTAACAATGTGAAATTCTACATCTTCCTCCTTACGATACAACCTATTCCCACAGTGACTGCATGGACAAAGGATCATCCCATATTGGATCCTATCGTGTTCATGCACAAATTTTATGAAAGAAGTAACTCCTTCAATGAATTCAGGCTTTGTGCGTTTTTCACAATTCACATACATTCAATCCTTAACTCTGATATAGTTGTGCCATGCCAACCTAAATAATTCAAAGTTAGTGATAAAAACTCTATGAATTATGCATGCTTGCATTAAAGGACAAAATCAATAATCATCAAATAGCAAATTGAGGATATAATCATAATAGAGACGTTATAAGTTAATGTTTGGAACATTTTTCTCATCAAAAAGTAATTGATACATTTGTAGGCGTTAAAAAAAATGCTAATAGATATCCAAACATAGAGAAGATCATCAAAAATCACCTCATACAGTCTTAAGAGAAAAATCAAGACAGATATGAACTGTCTCGCCAGCGAGACAGTGTTTACTGTCTCGCCAGCGAGACAGTGTATGCTGTCTCGTAGCGAGACAGTGTATGCTGTCTCGTAGCGAGACAGTGTATGCTGTCTCGTAGCGAGACAGTGTATGCTGTCTCGTAGCGAGACAGTGTATGCTGTCTCGCCAGCGAGACAGTGTTTGCTGTCTCGCTAGCCTCAAAAGCATTTTTTTTCACCCGGGGCTATAAATACCCCCCGAGATGATTTTTTAGGGAGGAGAGAGAGATCAGATCCAGCCTAGATCAGAGCAAACCCAGAGGCTGAGCATACAGAGCAGAGTTCTTGAGCTTCAGGCAATTCCTTGAGATTCTAGCTTTGACTTGATCTTAAGAAGAACGACTATCTTACTTTGATAAGATATCATTTTAAATTCTCACTTCGATAAACGAAGGAAGAATCATTAAACCCCTCACGATTCAATCAGAATCTGTGATTTGGTGGTCCACGAGTCAAAGTGCTCCCGACACAGGCAAAGATCCCATGCAAGCAGCGATCCAAACAATGATCCTGCGTTTGTTTCTAAAAAGTTGTAATTTTTATCTTGTTGTGTAAAAGAAGTCTTATAAAAAGGCTATCTCTTTTGAATTTATTATAATCGACCGAAGATATAATGAATTCCACAGCAAAACTAACTTTTGACGAAAACAAGCTGGCGACCACAGTGGGAGCCAACGGTCTCACTACCGAGACCGTCGTGTCGCAGCCGATCAATATACTGGTTGAGTCCATGATTGAATATAAATTCGACCAAGCAAAGTTTGAGGAATATCTGTCATCCTCATCTTCAAAGTCTTCCTCGCCTCACAAATGCAGGAATATTCCATCTTCTAAGAAGGTTTTCAAGTTTTCGACTCCGTCGAACAC